AGTATAATTTCAGAGCTGAACAACAGAGAAATTTCTAAAATCATAACATTTTAGTAACATTTGCTAACATTTTATTTTAAAATATTATATAAACCACGTGGAGCGGTTTCTATAGCGTCATACGAACCGCTCGACCAATCACATTGCTGGAAACTCTATGCTCAGCTTTGAAATTATACCAAAACATATTAACTGTTGTAACGTTTGGCATCCAATTTATGAAACTTTTTTACAATATTAGCTCTATGCAACTTCTTCATGACATTTGTGTCACTGTGCTCAGGGTTCTTGTTAATAGCAGGTTGCTTTTAAGTGCCCCTTTGTGCCCTAAAATTAAATAAAGGCATCTGTCTGTCTGTCTGTCTGTCTGAATATACTAGTAAAAGGAGGCAACGTATAAATCCAAGTGTCACCGGTTCAAAATGAACACGGGGAGCGTTTGATCAAACAAGTTATCAGTGTATATAACCGTGATTATCTAGAGAGATTTTCAGCGCCACAGAGAATAAGCCTGCAATAGAGAAAAACCCATGCTTTAAAAGAAAAAATCCTGGATAAGTGGAAATTGCAGAAAAATTAACAATTCGCCGTAGCAGTGAGCCAGAGTCCAACCAACTGCATGCATGCTGCCTGACCCATATAACTTATGAATCCTTCCTTCGGCCAATAGTCAATTTGGTCAATGTGGCAACCATTCTTATGAAAACGAGATTTATGTGCTAGTGAATGAAAACTAAATACTGCATGAAAGGTTGAACCTTATGGTTTGCTTTGAAAAAGAGACGACACATTTTTCTCTTCAAAAATGACGTCAATTATCGCCGTTGAATCAATGAGTTGCAGGTAGTGGTACGTGTGGAATTTAAAAATGTCGAAACTTCCTGACTGGTTTAAGCACCCGTGAAAGCCGGAGGAGGCCCGAAATCACAAGTTCGTATGTTTAAGTATCTGCCATTGTAAGTCCCGGATGTAACCCATCCGGGGTAATGATAAAACGCGGCACAGGTTGTATAAATTAATTTATTCCCTTTGGTAATAAATGTCATTTAATAATTCAAGCGCAGGGCGGGTCAACTGCTCATTACAAAAGCCGTGCAATGCCGTGCGGCCTGGTACATCATTGAACTTTATGCAAATTCAATGGCGGTCACACGTGTCTTTCTCCTTCTGCTGGTCTTCCTCAACTCTAACACTGATTTTCATTATTTTCACGGCTCTCACTACCACGAACGGCTCAGCAATGTTACCGAGCATCCATTTATCGACGATAAAACAAACCTAAGAGGGAACTTAAGATCGAGGTTTCTAGGCATTTCCCGCAAACCGCGAACGTCAAGAAGGCACGTGACCAGTGCCTTGCCGTCAGGCTTGCAGTTTAAGGTTCACGTTTTGTACGGCTGGACTACACTCTAGAAGTAAGTGATTTACTGCAAGGTTTTTTTTGCACCCAAAACATCAAAATCCCATGTTTGAGAGGAAAACTACTTTTTAGAACTCTTTCGGTTATTAATTATTGAATTCTTTTTTCTTAGAAACGTAATTTTGAAGACGATTTCTCAGCTAAAAAAGAAGTGAACGAATGATTGAAAACAAACATGGCGGCCAGCTATTTGTTGTTAAAACTGTTTTGCCGGTCGGATTGCTTTGAGGTTAAACAAAAGCCAATTTACGATGATATGTGAATGCATGAATGCTGTTCAGATGACCAGCCATACGAAGCTACTTCAAGAAAGAAGAAATCGAGATCTTCGTTAATTGCTCAACAACGAACCCTCAGAACTACTATCGTCCAGCTGCATAATGTCAAGCAGATCTTTGTAGTCTTGCCTAATTTAAAGAGGATCAAAGATTTAGTGTTCTGCGCTCATTAAGGAGGCTGGATATAGTTTCTTTGGCGTGCGCAGACTGGGTTCTAATTTACCCGGGACTTTTAAAAGTTGCAAAAAANAAGGCACCTGGAAGAGATTTCTTCGATACCGACGACAAAGTGCGGTTTTATACGGGGCTGCCGTCCATCGAAGTGCTGATGAAAACATTTGAACATGTTGCACCTTCTGTGAACAGGAAAAGCCTTACTCTTGATAAATTTCAATAGTTTGTAATTGTTCTGATGAAGCTACGGCCTAATGTCCCATTTCAAGACTTTGCCTACCGTTTTTCTATTTCTGTTAGTACAGCTTCAAGGATTTTTTCTTCCTGGATTCGAATTATGGATGCTAGGCTCTCCCCACTTGTGTACTGGCCAGAGAGGCACCAGCTGTGGCACACTATGCCTATGTGTTTCAGACATTCATTTGGAAACAAGGTGACAGTAATCATTGACTGTTTTGAGGTGTTCATCGAAAACCTTCTAATCTTCTTGCTAGAGCTCAAACATTTTCTTCGTATAAACATCACAATATCATTAAAATACTAATTAGTATCACACCTCGAGGGACAATTTTTTGGGTGTCTAAGGCATGGGGAGGTCGCACATCAGAAAAACATCTCACTGAGAACTGTGGTTTCTTGGAGAAGCCACTGCCTGGAGATTTAGTTATGGCCGTCAGGTGTTTACCATTTCTGAAAGTGTCAGTCTAAAGCATGCTAAGCTGGTGATCCCTATCTTCACCAAAGGGTTGAAACAGTTGGACCCTATTGATGTTGAGGAGACCAGTGGCATCGCCAACGTACGTATCCATGTGGAGAGGGTAATAGGGCTGCTCCCCCGAAAATACGCCAACCTAGAAGGCACACTTCCAACAGATTTTGTTTCCAGTAATCACCGTGGAACAGTAGACTTTCAAGTTCCTTTAATTGATCGAATTCTGGTGGTATGTCACTGGTAAATATTGGTATTTAATTATCTCAATGTCAGTTGGACCACCACCAGACAATATCCCATTGTTAAAATTTGGTATTGATTCCATCTTTCCAATAAATAGGGCAATAGTTTCATTAGAGTTCCTAGTAAAAATTTAATTAATTCCCAATATTTACCAATAGTATACCACTGAGGCAAACACCTTTTTTCCCTGTGATATGAAGAATCTCAAATTCTATCGGGCCTATTAACCACAAAAGATATGGTCATCCAGCCCTTAGATCTATGACTAATTTGTTCCTTTCAATTCTTGCATCCTATAAATAAGTATTGCTCTAGGTTTGTCCATGTTACTATTAATATACTGGGAAATTGCTCATCTTCTCATTTCTCAGACACTCAGCCAAATGTGAACGCATTCTTGAGGGATCAAAGGTTACCTGCCTAGGGTCTCCGCCATTAAAAAGATAGCAGGCAAAAGCAATGGCAAAAATGCCATAGTCATTATTTTGCTGTTGAACTGGTGCACAACTGAGTGAATTCAAACGACCACCTAGAAGATCATTTGTTTGATATATCACTTCCTGGCAAATGACATCTTGATAGAGATTGTCATATAAATCTGCATCAAAGGGTTGGCAGCCAATATTATTGACACACACCCAATGAGCAGAACCTGTATGTAAAATCTGTATAAATTCACCAGACACTACATCAAAATTACGAACAGGCCCTAAAGTTGGGCATTGGAATCCTTCAATGAACTGATTTTCCTCGTGCAGCAGTACCTGAGCTTTTTGTACAATGTCACAAGTGAGCCAGCCAGTTGGGTAA